TGTTTCGCTTCATCAAGCTGTCTTGTTTTTCACAACCATCCTGTGGTGTTGGGTCCTCGTTATGAAGAGACAGCGCTCCGCGTCGCTCCTCCTCCTCCTCTTCCTCCTCCTCTCCTCCTTCTCCCCCTCCTCCCCTTCCTTCCTTTTCCCTGCGTTTCTCTCACCCAGTAAAGCGTTTCGTGGCCCCATAGGGAGCTCCACCGAAGGCCCCAGTGGGACCGCCCACATGCGCCAGCCACCGCCCAGACAGCCCTTGTTCCCTGCTTTTCACCCACCCAGTACAATGTTTCGTGGCCCCATAGGCAGCTCCACCGAAGGTTCCAGTGGGACCGCCCGCACGCGTCAGCCACAACCCAGCACAGCCCTTGCCCCCTGCGTTTTACCCACCCCGTACAATGTTTCGTGGCACCATGGGGAGCTCCACCGAAGGTCCCAGTGGGACCGCCCGCATGCGTCAACCACCACCCAGCACAGCCCGTGCTCCCCGCGTTTCACCCACTTAGTACAATGTTTCGTGGCCCCATAGGGAGCTCCACCGAAGGTCCCAGTGGGACCGCCCGCATGCGTCAACCACCACCCAGCACAGCCCTTGTTCCCTGCCTTTTCACCCACTCAGTGCAGTGTTTCGTGGCCCAATAGGGAGCTCCACCGAAGGTCCCATTGGGACCGCCCGCATGCGTCAGCCACCACCAAGCACAGCCCTGACTCCTTGCGTTTCCATCACCCAGCGCAGCCATTGCTCCCTGCGTTTCGCCCACCCAGTACAATGTTTCGTGGCCCCACAGGGGATCTCCTCCGAAGGTCCCAGTGGGACCGCCCGCATGCGCCAGCCACCTCCCATCACAGCCACTGCTCCCTGCGATTCACCCACCCAGTACAGTGTTTCGTGGCCCCACAGGGATCTCCACCGAAGGTCCCAGTGGGACCGCCCGCATGCGTCAGCCACCACCCAACACAGCCCGTGCTCCCTGCGTTTCACCAGTACAACGCTTCGTGGCCCCATAGGGAGCTCCACCAAAGGTCCCAATGGGGCCGCCCGCATGCGTCAACCACCACCCAGCACAGCCCGTGCTCCCTGCTCTTCACCAGTACAGTGTTTCGTGGCCCTATAGGGAGCTCCACCGAAGGTCCCAGTGGGACCGCCCGCATGCGTCAGCCACCACCCAGCACAGCCCTTGTTCCCTGCCTTTTCACCCACTCAGTACAGTGTTTCGTGGCCCCATAGGGAGCTCCACCGAATGTCCGAGTGGGGCCGCATAGCGTTAACCACCACCCAGCACAGCCCGTGCTCCCTGCGTTTTACCCACCCAGTACAGCGCTTACTGGTCTCATCGGGATGTCCACGGAGGGCCCTATTGGCCACCACCCAGCGCAACGCTTCGTGGCCCCATAGGGAGCTCCACCGAAGGTCCCAGTGGGACCGTCCGCATGCGCCAGCCACCACCCAGTACAGCGCTTCGTGGCTCCATGGGGAAGTCCACCGATGGTCCCACTGGGACCGCCCGCATGCGTCAGCCACCACCCAGTACAGCGCTTCGTGGCCCCATGAGAAATCCACCGATGGTTCCAGTGGGGCCGCCCGAATGCGTCAGCCACCATCCAGTACATCGTGTCGTGGCCCCACAGGGAACTCCACAGAAAGACCCCATTTGCACCGCTCGCGTGCGCCGTCCACCACCCAGTACCCCATTTCGTGGCCCCATTGATTCGGAACTCCACCAAACCCCAGTTGCACCGCCCGCATGCGCTCCCCCCCCCACCCGGTAAAGCGTTTCGTGGCCCCGTAGGGGGCTCAGTGGTCCGCCCACATGCAGCCCCCCCCGCCCGGTACAGCGTTTCGTGGGCCCATAGAGCTGTACCGAAGGACCCACTGGCACCGCCCGCGCGCGCCCCAGTACAGCGTTTCGTGGCCCCATAGGGGACCCCACCGAAGCCCCCACTGCACTGGCTTGCATGCGTCGGCCACCACCCAGTACAGCGTTTCGTGGCCCCGTAGGGAGGTCCACAGAAAAACCCCAGTGGCACAGCCCGCGTGCGTGTCCCCCACCCATTACGACACGTCACTCACGCGTTTCGTGGCCCTATAGGAAGTTCCACCACAAGCGGCACGCACAACGCGTTGCTCACAACTGCATATGGTTGGGTCTTTCGCCAGGATAATGTCTTGCTGCCGCTTCTTTCTAACAGCGCGTGGTTCTTGACAATAGTATGGACCTCATGATGGTACACATGTATTACACATTTCCGGACTAATTCTACCCAGCCTCCAGCACTCTGTTGGGTGCTTGCTGCAATCGGGAAACCCAGGAAGTGGAAACATTTCTCGTTGTTGTACTTCACAACCTTCTCGCAAGCCGTGATCATCTCTCCTCTGTAAATAAGTCCTGCTTAGTCTGTCCACCGTGGTTTTGGCAACGTAATAACGCAACGAGAGAAGCCTGAACTGTGACAGCGTGCCCTGAACTCTTTCGCTGTTCTCCAGAGCCACGCGATGTTCAGAAGCCAGTTCGGGGTACTCTTGGCGCTGGTCTTTGGCGGTGATCGTCTGGAAGGCTGGCGGGATGCGAGTTGCAGGTTGTATCGTTACGCCATCCTGCTCGAAGGCGAGAGTCGACTTCCACTGATTCTGTTTATTTATGAAGCGCTTGGTGGCACTGAAATTCTTCCATAGCTTTTTCCCAACCATCCTGTGGTGTTGGGTCCTCGTTTTGAAGAGACGGTCCCCGCGTTCCTTCTTTCCTTCCTTCCTCTCCCTCCTCCTCCCTCCTCCCTGCGTTCCACCCACCAAGGACAGCGTTTCGTAGCCCCACAGGGAGCTCCACCGAAGGCTCCGATGGGACCGCTCGCTTGCGTCACCCACTTCCCAGTACAGCGCTTCGTGGCCCCGTAGATGGCTCCACCGAAGGCCCCAGCGGGACCGCCCGCATGCGTCATCCACCACCCAGTACAGCGCTTCGTGGCCCCATAGGCGGCTCCACCGAAGGCCCCAGTGGGCCCACTCGCATACGTCATCCACCACCCAGCACAGCGTTTCGTGGCCCCATAGGGAGCTCCACCGAAGGCCCCCGTGGGGCCGCCCGCGTGAGTCATCCATCACCCAGTACAGCGCTTCGTGGCCACATAGCATATGGAGCTCCACCGACGGCCCCAGTGGGACCGCCCGCATGCGTCATCCACCTCTCAGTACAGCGCTTCGTGGCCCCATATGGAGCTCCACCGAAAAACCGTGTGGGACCGCCCGCATGCGTCATCCACCACCCAGCAAAGGATTTCGTGGCCCCACAGGGAGCTCCGCCGAAGGCTCCAGTGGGACCGCCCGCATGCGTTACCCACCACCCAATACAGCGTCTCGTGGCCTCATAGAGGGTTCCACCGAAGGCCCCAGTGGGATCACCCGCATGCGTCATCCACCACCTTGTACAGCGCTTCGTGGCCACATAAAGGGGCTCCACCGAAGGCCCCAGTGGGACCGCCCGCGTGCGTCATCCACCACCCAGTACAGCGTTTCGTGTCCCCATAGGGAGCTTTACCTAAGGTCTCCGTGGCGGATTTCGCATGGCGGCCCAGTGGCGGAGTTCTCATGGCGGCGACCTTCGGTTTTCGGAGGTTTTCGTCGTATTCGACGTATTGAGGCCGGTTTCGGGCCGCGCATCCCGGGCGTCAGCCAGCCTGCTCGTTCTTTCTGCTCCGCGCAGCGGGCGACCCGCGCGCGTCATCGGGACCCTTTCGGGGCGACCAGCGCGCGTCGCGGGGACTCCGTGCGGCGCCGCGCCAGCAGCCTTGGACGCGGGCGTGCACGGGCAAGAGGGGAGAAGAAGAACGGGAAGGAAGCGGGCCCGATCCTCGTGAGAGGCGTGCCGACATGGGCGTCGACATTTACGCACGTAGACTCACGCGCGCGCAGACTAATCCACAATCTGGCTCACTCGCTCGCAGTTTCTCGCACACAGGCCTATCGTCTTCGCTCGCGTTGTGTGCCCCGCCACGCATGTAGGCACGCCCCTCACACGGTTCGTGGCCCCATAGGGAATGTGGGCGAAGATGATTTTCATAATTGCGGTATTCATAATTGCAGATGGTTGGGTCCGTCGCCAGGCGAATGAGTGAGGTCCCCGAGTGCTTTGCCGCGCGGCTTGAAGAGCACCTGGGCCTCCACCTCGGACAGAATATACAATGAGATGTCTGGGAACCCGTCTTCGCCGTCGTAGTGGCCTCCACGTCCGAGCCACCCAAAAGATCATCTGCAGTTTTCCGTCCATCGCGTCCACCGCGTGGCGTGTCTTGTACTCCGCGTCCACGAGGTGGTTCACGTGATGGTGATGCTGATGATGATGCTGATGCTGAGATGCTGACGAGGATGATGATCCAGATGATGTTGATGCTGGTGATGCTGATGTTGACGGTGATACATATGCGGATGCTGCTGGTGTTGCTATATATGAGATGGTGCTGATGGTGATGATGTTGATGATGTTGATGCGAGTGCTAATGATGATGCTGACGGTGATGATGATGTTGGTGATGAGGATGGCGATGCTGCTGCTGATGATGATGCAGATGATGCTGATGATGATGCTAATGGGGATGGTGGGTCGGAGGGGGCGGGAGAGAGCGGGCCCTGGGGGCGGTGGCAGGGCACGCGCACGAGTGGCCACCGCCCGAAACGCCTCTGCCCCGGTGGCATCCGCCCCGGCTCGCTTCGAAATCCTGGTCAGAACGCATCCCCTGACAGGTTCGGGGGGTAGCGGTACCGGTACCAGTTGGTTTCCCAACATACCGGCGGTGTGCCTCCACCGAGGAAAGATGATCCCGATTTTGGCGATCGTGGTAATATCCGGGCCTCCTGGATGGCCGAAGGATGATACCACCGAGGCCAGGATCTAGGATCCTCATACTCCAGTGAAGGCAACCCCCTGTTTTGGTGTCGGTGTCCATTTCCAAGCCTCCAACTCTGGCCGTCCACTCGCTCTTTGGTTGGACCCTTGCCTCTCTCACTCAAGGTGCTGTTTGCTCGCCGCGGCGGCCCCGCGGTGAGGAGTGGGTTGCAGAGCGATTGGACGCGGCCGCGGCCGCGCAGCGCCTTGCCGCCAAGGCTTGGCGGAGGGGGGGGGACATTGAAACACGGCAGGGCAACCGCCTTTCGGTGTGCTCTGCCATTTCGTTTTTTGTCGTCGCGTTTGTTCCTCTTCGAACCATGGTTTTCGGCACTCGACGGCAGCTCGGTTGAGTCGTTTGGATTGCGCCAAGGAGTTGACTGGGGAGCGTTTCTGGACAGAGCTGGGCTCGAACAAAACTAGCTGATTGAAGTAGAGTGTGCGGCCTATGTGGTTCCCCTTGGACCGTCTTGGGGGGCTCTGGAGGATCGCCTCAGTGGCATGTTGGACACGGGCCTTTTTTGAGCTATCTTAAAGCATCTCGGAATACATCGGGGGGTCACAACCGTATAACGCTATGGAGTGTTTTCCGCATGAGACCTTTTAGTCGTACCTCTTTTGGGCATCTGTTCGACTCTTCGGGCAAACTGGAACATTTTGGGCTGCTCTTGTGCCCCATAGTTCCTCTTGGCTGCTGCGTGGGGCCTTTTCGGTCCTTCTTGGGGGCAGCTTGGTCGCCTAGCCTCTTGGGTTTGTCTTAACGTCACGGCAATGCGAATCCAGCTCATGACGACAAGCGCGAACCGATTCCTGTTTGGATATGTGAAACTAAGGCGTCCTGTTCGCCGTGTAAATGCACGCCCGCGGCTTCTTTATAAACCGTTATTTGGAGCTTCAGAGTCCTCCAAGATTGCTCAGGAGGCGCCAAGATGGCGCCCAGGCGGCCCAAGATTTGTCCCAGAGGCTCTCGTGGCGGTCCAGGAAGCTTGCAATAACATGCGAGACTCCCCGACAGGCTCACGAGAGGCCCCAAGAGACTCCACGATAGGCCGCTGACAGCCAACTGAAGACTGCCCAAAGCGACGCCAAAGCGATCGCAAAGAGCCCCCAAAGGGCCCCACCACGCCGCCAAAACGCGTCAGGATGAACTTACCTACTCCAAACAAGAGGCCCTCTCCCCCCAAGAGACCTCGAAGAATTCCCAAGAGTGCTCCCTGACAGCCAACGAGGTTATTTAACCGGCGCAGACGGTCCCAAGACTGACCAACAGGCCCTAAGAGGATGGAAGAAAGAGTATTAGAGGCCTCATACGAGATCCCAATAGGCGCCATGAGCTACTGAGGTGGCAGAAAGCAGCAGCACGCAGCAGCAAGCGGCTGCAAGCGACGGCAAGTAGCAGCCGCAACGCCACTCAAGCGGCAGCGCTGCACGTTTTCTTCGACCCAGGTTTAACGAGACATCAGTGCCTTGGGGTTGGGAAGCCAACGTGTTTCATTCGCTAGGGGTTCTGGCCATGTGCGCGAGGATCTTGTGGGCATTTGGGGTCACCCGGGGGGCCCCTCGGAGGCCCTCAGAGAATGGAGCATCCTCGCGGGCCCTCTCAGACACTGCTTGGGCTCTTTTGGGATGCTCATGGGGCCCTTCGTTCCTCTTGATACCATTTCTGTTCTTCTTCGAACTAGCTTGAGGGTTCTCGGGCCGATCGGAAGGGTAAAGATCACAGGTGTCCACACCATGTACCGCCTGCATGCCTTTTTCTTCGATCTTTGCCTTTCGGCGGCCTTCTTAGAGTCTTAGAAGGCCCCGGGGCCACCTTGGAGCCTTCCTGGGCCTCTTTGGACCAGCCTATAGGACGCACACGCATACACACAGACACACACACAGACACACACAGACGCACACACACACACACACACACGCTCACAGTCACACAGTCACACACGCACACACGCACACACGCGCACACGCACACACGCACACTCGGACACGCGCACACATGCACACGCACGCAAACGCACACACACACGCACGCACATACACACACACACGCACATACGCACGCATGCACACACACGCCCTCACACACGCACACACGCACACATGCACGCCCACACGCACGCACACACGCGCACACCTACACACGCACACACACACACACGCACACACGCACACACGCACGCACACACACACACGAGCACACACACACACGCACACACGCACGCACGCACGCACACATGCACACACGCACATGCACACACGCACACATGCACACGCACATGCACTCACGCACACACGCCCGCACGCACACACACACACACATAGGCACACACGCATTCACACACACACACACACGCACGCACGCACACACATACACACGCACGCACGCACGTACGCACACACACGCACGCACACGGACACACACGCACACACAACACACAACACACAAGCACAACACACAAGCACAACACACAAACACACCACACAGCACACACAGCACACAACACAACACACAACACACACAACACAACACACACACAACACACAACACACAACACAACACACAACACACAACGCACAACGCACAGCGCACGACACACAACACAACACACGCACACGCACGCACGCACGCACGCAAGCAAGCACGCACGCACGCTCGCGCGCGCGCACGCACGCACGCACGCACGCACGCATGCACGCACGTGCACACGCACGCACGCCTGCACGCACACACATACACGCACGCGCGCACGCACGCCCGCTCGCACACACACACACATAGGCACACACGCATTCACACACACACACACACGCACGCACGCACACACACGCACGCACGTACGCACACACACGCACGCACACGGACACACACGCTCACACAACACACAACACATAAGCACAACACACAAGCACAACACACAAACACACCACACAGCACACACAGCACACAACACAACACACAACACACACAACACAACACACACAACACACAACACACAACACAACACACAACACACAACGCACAACGCACGGCGCACGACACACAACACAACACACGCACACGCACGCACGCACGCACGCACGCAAGCACGCACGCACGCTCGCGCGCGCGCACGCACGCACGCACGCACGCATGCACGCACGTGCACACGCACGCACGCCTGCACGCACACACATACACGCACGCGCGCACGCACGCCCGCACGCACACACGCACACACGCACTCTTTACAAGCGCGAAGAAGCCCTGTGGCGAGGAGGGGACAGGGAGAGGGGGCGGAGGGGGCAGAAAAGGACAGAGCAGCTCAGCCCGGACCTGCTGTACGAATTAGCCCTAGTCGGGCGGCCCAGCCAGCGTCGCTAGCCGCCGGCGCAGCGCGGCGCGCCGAGCCGCTTCGGGCCCTCTGGCCCTCCCCGCAGGTACCAGCACCAGCGCAGCGGCGCGAGGCGGCAGCGAGACAGCCCAGCCAAGGCATGGTCGGGCCGCCAGCAACTGCCGCGCCGCACTGGAGGCAGGCGACCCGGCCGGAGCCCTGCGAGGCTACGTGCAGCGCCCAGGCGCCACCTCCGAAAAGGGCCCTGGCGGCCTCGGCTGCGCCTCGCTGCGGCTGGCCTTGCCCCTCTGCCCACGGCCGCCGGGGGCGCGGAGGCGGCCGCCCGGCGGGCTCGCCAGCCGCTGCCGTGCGAACTGGTGCGCCCGCTGAGAATGCCCGCCGTGTCGGCGCATCCGCCCAGCGCCGGCGCACTCGGGGGCCGCCCGGCCCTTCGCTCTCGTGGTTCGCCCGCAGCGCGGCCGGCTCCACGGCCGCCAGCACCCGCTGGAACTGTCAGAGCGCGTGCAGCTGCACCTGCCGCTGCGTGCAGAGAGCCGACGCGGGGAGCTGGGCGCGCGCCGGGGCCCCCGCCAGGCCCGTCGAAGGATGGACCCAGAACGCGGTATCCACATTTGCTTATGGTTGGGTCCTTCGTCAGGCTGATGTTTGATCATGTTCGGCCCTAGACGGCCCTAGACGGCCCAAGGCAGCCCCAAGATCGCTTCAGAGGTCCCCAGGACGGCTCAAGGCTGCCCCACGAGCGCCCGAGCTACCTCCACGACGGCCTCAGGGAGGCCCGAAAAAGCTCCAAGTCGGCCCGAGAACGCTCAAAGAGGGTCCAAGACGGCTTCAAGACGAACAGAAAAAGGCTTTCAAGACGCTCCACGAGGCCTCCAAAAAGACGCCCAAGGGGGACAGATCGTATCATTTCTTGTGGGGAAAGGTGCATTTTAGCATGTCTGCTTCTTTGGTCCTTCGCAGCGTCCACGACGGCCCAAGAGGCACCCAGGAGCGCCCCGAGACGGCACAACAGACCCCCAAGACGGCCCCAAGACGGCCCTAAGACGGCCCAAGAGGGCTCCAAGACGGCCCAAAAGGACCCCAAGGCGGCGCAAGAAAGGCCCCTGCGGGTCCCAAAAGGTTCCCAAGTCGGTTCAGAGAGGTCCCCAAGAGGGCGACAGGAGGTCCCCAAGATAGCCCTAGAGAGCCCCGGGATGGCCCCAAGACGGCCGAAGAGGGCCCCAGGAAGATCCAAGAGGTTTCCAAGCCGGCCAAAAGCAACCCCAAAAGGAACCCCAAAAGGACCCCCAAGAAGGCCAGGAGAGACCGTATTCATTGATGTTCGCAAGGTTGGTTGTTAGTTAGTTGTATTACGTATAGGCGTCTTAACACCCAGAGGGCTCCAAGACACTGAGCAAGCGATCTCGCGCCCTTTCCGTCCCTGTGCCAAGGACTTTCCGTCCCCTTGCCAAGCAGATCGAAGACGCCTACGGCGAATCACCGCTGCCCCCTGCCTTTTTGGAAGCGCCTATGTGGCCGAACGTTGAGGCCAGACCTGCCAAGCTATCGGACCATGTGTTCCCCGAATCGGTTTGGAAAGCCTTCGGGGAACACGTGGGCAGCTTGAAGGTCATCTTGGCCGTCTGGAGGCCATTTTGATCCTTTCGGGCCTTCTTGGAGGACGTCTTGGAGGGCTCTTGGGCCGTCTTGGATGCCATCTTGAGCGTCTTGGAGACCCTTGGGCCGTCTTGGGAGCCTCTTGGGGCCGTGTCTTGGGCCTCTTGGGCGATCTTTGGGGGTACTTGGGCCAACTCGGGCCGTTGGAAGGCAGAAAAACAACAAATGCCATAATCCTTCAAAAACCCATGGGAAATCAATGATTTTGGCCTTTTCGGGCCTTCCTGGAGGCCCTCTTGGAGGCCTCTTGGGCTGTCTTGGGCTATCTTAGGGCCATGTTCAGCCGTCTTGGTGGGCTCCTGGTCCGTCTGACGCCGTCGGAAGCCGTTTGGGTGGCCTCTATGGGCCGACTTGGGGCCTTCTTGGAATGCTCCAGGGCCGTCTTGGAGGCCACCTTGGGCGTCTTGAAGGCCTCCTGTGCCGTCTTGGGGGCCGTCTTGGGGCCCTCTTGGGCCGTTCTGGGGCCATCTTTGAGGCCTCTTAGGCGATCTTTCGGCGATCTTTGGGGGCTCTTGGGCCGTCTCGGGCCGTCGGAAGGCCGAAAAGAAGCAAATTTCAACATCCGTTCAAAACCTTAGGAAAATGAATGTTTTTGGCCTCTACTGGCCTTCCTGGAGGCCCTCTTGGGGGCCTCTTGGGCCGTCTTGGGCCAGCTTCGAGCCAACTTCGGCCATCTTGGTGGGTTCCTGGCACGTCTGACGCCGTCGGGAGCCGTCTTGGGAGCCTTTCTGGGCCGACTTGGGGCCCTCATGGGGCGCTTCGGGGCCGTCTTGGAGGCCATCTTGGGCGTCTTGGAGGCCATCTAGGGCGTGTTGGGGCCATCTTGGAGGCCCCTTGGACCGTCTTGGGGCCCTCTCTGGGCCGTCTTGGAGGCCACTTGGGCCGTCATGGGGCCCTCTTGGGGGCCTCTTGGACGATCTTGGGGGCCTCTTGGGCCGTCTTGGGTCGTCGGAAAGCCGAGAAGAAGCAACTGCCAAAAGGCTTCAAACACCTACGGAAAATCAATGATTTTGCCCCTTCGGGCCTTCCTGGAGGACCTCTTGGAGGCTTCTTGGGCAGTCTTGGGCCATCTTCAGGCTATCTTAAGCCGTCTGGAGTACATCTTGGGCCGTCTTGGAGGCATCTTGGGTGTATCTGAGCCGTCTTGGAGGCCATCTTGGCCGTCTTGGAGGCATCTTGGCCGTCTTGGAGGCCATCTTGGGGCTGTCTGGGGCAGTAAAACCGTTTGCAACGGGGTCTTGCGGGTGGCCGGCGGGACGCGCCGGAGCCCCAGGGGGAGTTCTTTTGCAAAAAAGAGCCAAAACCAAAACCGAGAGCATTTGACACGCCAGGTACCCCTTTGATGAATCAAAAGGGGGCGGCGGAATCGAAGACGCCTACGGCGAATCACCGCCTCCCCCTGCCTTTTTGGAAGCGCCTATGTGGCCGAACGTTGAGGCCAGACCTGCCAAGCTATCGGACCACGTGTTCCCCGAATCGGTTTGGAAAGCCTTCGGGGAACACGTGGGCATCTTGAAGGTCATCTTGGCCGTCTTGGAGGCCTCTTGGGCAAGCTTTGGGCGATCTTTGGGGCTTTTTGGGCCGTCTCGGGCCAGCTTCGAGCCAACTTCGGCCATCTTGGTGGGTTCCTGGCACGTCTGAAGCCGTCGGAAGCCGTTTGGGGGGCCTCTATGGGCCGACTTGGGGCCCGCTTGGAATGCTCCAGGGCCGTCTTGGAGGCCATCTTGGGCGTCTGGGAGGCCATCTTGGGCGTGTTGGAGGCCTCTTGGGCCCTCTTGGGGCCCTCTAGGGGCCATCTTGGAGGCCACTTGGGCCATCATGGGGCTCTCTTGGGGGCCTCTTGGGCGATCTTGGGGGCTTCTTGGGCCGTCTTGAGCCGTCGGAGAGCCGAAAAGGCGCAAATGCCAAAATCCTTCAAAAACCAAGGGAAAATCAATGATTTTGGCCTCTTCGGACTCTCCTGGAGGACCTCTTGGAGGCCTCTTGGGCCGTCTGGGAGGCCTCTGGGGGGCCTCTTGGGCCGTCTTGGGCCGTCTTGGACTCTCTTGGGCCGTTTTGGAGGCCGTCTTGGACCATCTCGGGCGGACTGGGAGGCCATCTTGGGCCATCTTCGCGATTTTTTGAGGATGTCCCGAGCGAAACGGCCGTTTTTGGGCATTGACAGATAGGTTTTGTGAGATTTACGGGTGGCCGGCGGGACGGGCCGAAGCCCACTGGGGAGTTCTTTTAGAAAAAGAACCAAAACCAAAACCTGAATCGTCCAGCACGCCGTGCACCCCTGCAAGCAGGGGGCGGCGGACTAATGGTCTTTCGGCCCATTCCGCCACCGTGCCTTGGTTGTGGGCCACAGGCCTCGAGGGTGTTCGTTGAGATGCCGCGTGAAAGGACCCCCCAAAAGACCCAGAGAGGGCATGTTCTGTGATGCTCGCGAGGTTGGTTGTCAGTGTTTTATTTGACGCACCAAAGTCTTACACCAAGAAGGCTCCAAGATACTGAGCAAGCGGTCCCACGTTCTCACTGAGTACGAGTGTTTTCCGTCTCCATATCAAGCACGTCGTATAGCCAAGATGGCGAGTTCGCTCGGGACATCCTCAACGAGCTGAGATGTAATAGGTTCGCGTTGGGAAGGCCCCAAGACGGTCCAACATAGCCTAAAAAGATAGCTCTAACACCCCTTACTTCCGCCCAGCAAATGGCAATTTCGCCAGGGACATCCTCATTACAAGGAGATGTTGGCGACATCACTCTTGCCCTAAATTGCGATTTCGCTTGGGGCACCCTCACAGTAATGCGATGTTGGCGGTATGTGTCCATCCCAAGATGACGATTTCGCTAGGGAGATCTTCACAAACAAGGCATGCCGTCGACGTTTTCTTCGTACCGATCTTACCAACACTTGCGATTTCGATGGGGACAACCTCAAATAATTAGATACTGTCGACATCGTCTTGGTATCACTATTGCCCAAGGTTGCAACTCCGCTAGGTTTAGCCTCACAACCATGAGGTGTTGTCGACTTCGTCTTGGTATCGATCCAAGACTGCCCACGAGGCTCCCAGACGGAATCCAAGGCGACTCAAAGTGGACTGCCCGTGGGGGCCCCGAGACCCGCCAAGCAGGTTTAAATTGACCAGGCGGGCCTGAACGGCACATTCGGTTACAATGGCCAGGGGAGCGAAACAAACGGTCAGGCGGGTTCAAACGGCCAGGCGGCTCAAGACGGTTGGGCAGGTTCAAACGCGTTGCAACGGCCAGGCAGGTTGGCACGGCCAGGTGCGTTGAAACGGCGAGACGGGCTAGAAGGGCCACGCGGGTTACAACGGCTGGGCGGTTTGAATCGGCCAGGCGAATTTGAACGGCCAGGCGGGTTTAAATCGTTAAGGATGCCAGCGCGGCCAGGCGGGTTAGAAAAGGCCAAGCAGGTTAGATCGCCAGGCGAGTTAAAACGGTCAGGCGGGTTACAACAGCCAGGTGTGTTAAAACGACCAGGCGGGTCAAAACGGCCAGGCGGGTTGAAACAGCCAAGCGATTTGAAACGGCCAGGTGAGTCAAAACGGCCAGGCGGGTTAAAAGGGCCAGGCGGGTTGAAACGGCCAGGCGGGCTTGTGAAATCGACGAAGGATGTCGGCGCGGCCAGGCGGGTTAAAATGGCAATGCCGATGAAAACAGGCGGTTTCGAGCGGACACTCGGGTCAAAACGGCTCAAGAGGACACGAAGCGAGCCCGAGAGTCTCCCACGAAGGCCCAAGAGACCCCCCTCGTAGCCATCTCGGCTCAAGGCCGTCTTGGTTCCGCCCGTGCAGATCTGAGCCTTCTCCCACGGGACATCTATCGGCGGTCAGAATCGCTGCTCTGATCGCCACCTCGTGCGGCCAGCCCGATGCCCGCGTACATGGTGCCTGGTCCCGCTCGCAGCCCCTTGGCTCACGCGCTGCCCCAGGTGTCTTGCTTTGATGAGGTCCACGCCGGCCCAGTCGCCAGGTCGGTGCCGCAGACGCGCCTAGCCCAGGGACGGTCCGCGGGCGCCCAGGCGGTCCCCCCACAGCAGCACACCGTGTGCCCGTGGGAGTCGGAGCTTCCCGCGAACAGCATGGGCCACGCGCAGGGGATGTGCAGGCCGTGCTTGTTCTTCTCGCAGGCGCAGTGCCGGAAGGGGAATGCCTGTACGTTCTGCCACTTAGGCCATAGCACCCGAGACATCAAGAAGGTGCGTCCCTCGAAGAAGACGCGCAGCTGGGTGCAGCAGCGGTGCAGCAGCGGTGCGCCAATGGCCGCGCGGACTGCCTCGGAGCACCGCGAGCAGCTGGCTGCCGGCGCGTATGGGGCCGCGCCGCCCGCCGCCGCGGCGTGGAAGGAGCACGAGCCGTGGGAGGTCCCGGCTCCGCCGCCACCACCGCCTCCGAGGCGCGGTGAGGGCGTCTCGCGAGGAGCCTCGACCGTGGACCGGGAGTACTCGACCGCCTGGGTCTCCTCTGCGCTGAGGGCGGCGACGGCCCCGCACGGGCAGTTTCCAGGTGCGGGCCCCGGCCGTGCGCCCTTCGAGCAGCAGCACGGCCAGCACCAGGCGCAGCGGGTCACGCTGGCCCTCTGAGCCGGTGCGTGCGCCACGCGCTCCCCACGCCCCGCTCCGCTGCGCCTCTCGGGGTCCAGATGACAGGGCTGAACCTAAACGCCTGGACTGGAAGACTGGAAAGATGTCAGGGTTGGAGTTCGGCTGTGTTTGATGTTTCGTTTTGGAGTGGAGGTGCAGGAAAACACAGAGCAAAACGAAACACAGCACGGACACAAAACGAACAACGGCGTGTAGACCCAGCCCTGTGATTGGGTGTCTATCCGCGCCCTCGCGCGCCTCCTCCCTCGTCGCCCTTGTGGCAGCGCGCGTTCCCTCCCGTCGCTGCCTCCGCGTCGAGGCGAGCGCCCGGGGCGGTGGCCCCGCGTGTCTTGTGCAGACGAGCAGTGGAACCCTGTTCGTGTCGTGTCGACCGGCGGCGACCCCGCCGCCGGCGTTCAACGTTGAACGCCGGCGTCAGCGCAGAATCGGTCGATGTTGAACGATCGGGCGTTGCGGACACGACAGATCGTTCAAGGTCGAACGATCCCCGCAGTGTCAGGAACCCATGCTCAGGTCGACATGACACGAGCCTGCCGTAGGGGACGCCCTCCTCTAGAGGTGCGCTTTCCTAGTATGCTCAAGTCGAGTTCGCCGCCACGGGGCGCAATACACGGCATGGACACAATGTGCCACTCACCGGCGTATCCTGTGAGATCCCTCAGCGATCTTGCACGCGGAAGCGCGCTGCGCAGAGCGCACTGTCTCAACCTCAATGGATACCACGGCGGTCCTCCCAGATCGCTTGGTACCTTTTAGGAGTATTCTTTTGCAGATCGCCTTGCCAATTATATTGCTGAAGTTCCACTCGGTTGCCAGTTGCCAGGTTGATCCAGTACACTTCGTGTGGATTCCTTCAGGCCGAAGTTTTCGGCCCCCTGGCAATGCTCACTGGGTAGGGCTGTGGTTGACAGTGTGGAGGCTGGAAATCCATGCCAGCCTCTACTTCGTCAAGAATATCCGCGTGATGTTGCCAATCATGCTGGTAATTGCAAATCTCGGCTTGAAAGCGGTACAATGGGACACGTGTATCATGTAGGACAACGGGAGGGGTGTCGAACTTGACAACATAATTTCACAGTCCGCCGCCTGATGCGCATCGAGGTCATAATCTTGCTCCGAGCAGGCGCATTCAATGGCCCCTTTTTTAAACAGGCGGCTTTCGAAGGCGTCCTCCGCTTGGCATGCAGACGCCGAGGTTGAGGGGTGGATGGAGCAGGTTCTTTTGGGTGGTTGGAAGTAGTGCGATCAAGCTGTGGGTTGAGGGGGCTTGCTGCATACTTACTGGCGTGTCGCTTCTGTTTGACACCACCATCGACAGCGGTGCCGACAATTGCTCCCTTTTTGGCTTCGGCAACGGGTCAATGGGATGACCATCAGTAACGTCCAGAGACCTCATAGATTTTGAATCGTGACGTCTTGCTTCGGCTTGAACTTGCTTTGTAGCTGCGGGTACCTTTTCCGCGTCTTGACCCGAGATGCTTGCCAGTATTTGCACCAGCCACCCCACAAATCCCTGCAAGGTTGAGCATCGGTCTGGTCCTATTGCCGTCTCGGCATCTGTGGGGCCGGCCATTGCTTACTATCAGAGGTCACAAAGTCGGGGCGGTGTTTTGACGAGTGCTGTTGACGTTTTCTGCGTCCTATGTGCAAGCAGCTCTGATAGCACGCCAGTTCTGTAACAAAGAATGCCCAAGAGGGTCCCAAGACCCCCCAATCATGCGACAAAGGGCGAGGTGCAGAGAGGACGTGCGATGATGCACAATGGAGGAAGTTGTGCTTTCCGTCCCCGTGCCAAGCAGGTGACGGAACGAGCGAGGTACGAGTGATGACGATGAGATGGGGCGGAGCTTTCTAGGGAGAGTTCCAGGGGAGGGGGGAGGAGCGGGGACAAAGGTTTCAGCCCCCCCAGGAAGCCATGAAGACGGCCCAAGGGGCGTCCAGGACGGCCCAAGAAGACACCCAAACGGCTCAAGAGAGGCCCCAGACGGCTCCAAGGCTGCCCAAGAGCGCACCAAGAGACCCCAAGACCGTCAAAGACCGTTTCGAGATGGCCTAAGATGGCCTGATGACGGTCCAAGAGGGCTCCGAGACGCCGCAAGAGGCTTGCAAAAGACATCGCAAGAGGGGCCAAAGAGGCAACATGCATAGATTATTGTATGGTTTTGAAGGTTGTTCGGGTCCTCGCCTTTTCGGGCCCAGTACGACCCAACACGACCCAAGAGGCTTCAACGATCGTCCCCAAACGGCCCACGAGGCCCCCCCAAGAGTGCCACCAGGCGGCCTAAGAGGGCCCCTAAATCGGTCCAAGAGGGCCCCAAGAGGGCCCAAGAGGCTCCCAAGAAGGCACCCAGAGGCTCCCAGGAGAGCCCCAAGACGGCCACAGGCCTCCAAGATATCTCAAGACGGCTCCACGGGGCCCCAAGATTGCCCAAGATGGTCCCAAAATGGACCACAAGGGCAGCAAAGAGACCCCGAGAAGCCCCAGAGACGCCAAGTAACACCATGGCTCCCAACAGCGATCGGTGACATAACAAGCTCTTAACACCAAGCCTCCCCGGAGCGCGGTGAAGTAACAAGCTCTTAACAGCATGGTTCCACAGCGCGAGAATCACACATCATGATCTGAGCATCAGGGCTCCCAACAAAGAGCGGTGACGTAACATGTTTGTGCGAGCACGGTAATGATTGGTTTTCTTGGCGTCGATTGCGTTTCGAATACTTTCACGATCCATATCGTAAATGTGTATGATCAAGCTCGTCCTGCAGGAGCTTGGACTGAACGCCCCGCCCCGGCCAGCAGTGCAAGGGATACCCGCTGCAGCTGGGGCACGCGGCGCCTGGGGCGCTGGTGGTCCTGCGACCGACTGCGTGTGACTGCTCGCCGCCAGCGCAGACGAGGGGAAGCTCGAGCTGCGGGGCCAGTCGCCTCGGCGGTGCGGGCCCGACAGGCTCACCGCCCGCCCGCCGTCCGCAGCCTGCCCGGCGGCGCCCGAGTGCCCAGGGTTGCTGGGCCTTCTGATGGCCGCCCTCGGGGGCGGCGCTCTGGTCGGCGGCCTGGTGGTGACGCTCGCGCTGGTGTTCCTCGGCGCGGGGGACGTGTGGCAGCGAACCTGCGTGGCGGCGGCGCTGTCCGCGCCTGCGGCGAGGCTGTCCGTCGGGCAGCCCACGGCGTCGGAGGAGCCGACGAGGAGGAGAGGTGCGGCCAGGCCGAGCGGGTGCGAGCCTGCCGTGATGGAGCATCCTCTCTCTAGTTTCGAGCTGCGGGAGGGCGATCTTGTTACGGCGCAGCTCAGCTGGCCGCCGAGGGACCTGAAGCACGAGCGCTGTGTGGTCATTCCTCTCGAAAGGGGCTCCCAGGACGAGGGCGTGGCTGCGCCGGACGGGGACGTGTACATGGAACGCTGGGACCTGCCTGGTATAGGCTCCTGGAGGCGGCTCCCTGACGGCGTGCAGGACGGCGACTCGGGCGACGCTGATGTGCGTTGCGATCCTCTCGGGCAGGCGCCGCTGGCTCAGGAGCTCGGGACACACATATGCGCCCTGGCTCGCGAGCGCTGCCAGCCCCCGCCAGGGCTGCCGATGGTGCCGGACGTGGGGATGGCGACCCGCTGGCAGGCGCCGCCCGCCCAGGCCGTGACCGACGACCGAGCTTCGTTCAGCATGCTGGGAAACCGCTAGTGTCGATGCTGGCGTCCGAGGGTGATCTGGCCAGTGGTACGAACCAAGGCCTGCGTGACGATCGGGAGGACGACGGGGATGACGACCTTCGGACCCTTTCGGAGATGAGGGATCGTAAGAAAAAGCGTCGCCGCAATCTGGACAGCGTGGTGGCTAACCTGTCGGAGATGAACTTCACGGACTCGCCGCTGATGGGGAGGTGCACCCGCCAGATCGGAGGCCCGACCGCCCCCTACACACTTGTGGTGCCAGGCATGAAGATGACGGGGAACGGACACAGCGCTCACAAGCTCGGGGTGCTGCTCAACGTGCTGGAGCTGGCCAACTCAGGGGGCCAACTGAACGTCGGGAACCTGTCGGACACGGGCGTACGTGGGCTGCAGGATCCAGCTGATCATGGGCGACATATCGAAAGGTGATGTTGCCGTCCAAGAGGGTTCCGAGCACCTCGTGGGGCTCGGGCGCAGGCTTAGAGGCGTCGCCGCCAGACTCACAGGCGAGGCAGAGGTCGACGAGCCGCGCGACATAGCGCGAGAGGCCTGGGCGTTTCGTGGAGGCAGGTCTGGCGGCCAGGACAAGCACCGCGGAAGGAGTGGGGGAGTCGCCCGACCCCCGCTCTTATTTTGAGCGCGAGGAGCCAGACGAGCTCCGCGCGGGCGCATAGTGCCGCCGCAGTGTTGGCCTCTGTCTCAATCGCGGGCTTGAGATGGAGTGCGATTGGGCTGAACGTGGTTGTGAGTTTGGGCTGCTGGTTCCCTGGTGAGGTCTTTCCTCTTCAGCTGCCTGGCATCGAAGCGCCGCCTCGTTTTGGTCTCTCCGGAACTTGTGTCCAGCGAGTGCAGGCCCGCAGGAGGCAGCAGACGGTAGTGCGTGAGGCTTGTGCTGCTCAGAACTGGATGGCGGGGGCCGCTCCGCCGTTGGACGGAAGCCCCCCTCGTGAGGTGCAGGAGGTCGCGTGCAAAGACGTAGACTTCTTCGTGTCGCACCACGCAGACGCTGCATGTGAGGTGCCTCCTGAGGCAGCCCGCTCGTTTCTCCGGCACAAAGCGGGCTGCGGCCCGTCTGACAGCCCCGTGCGCCCGTTCGTGAAGGACCTTGTGTCGTTGCCAGCCCACGCAGCCGACTGCCCTTTGACGGCTGAAGTGCCGGGCGAGCGATAGCGATCAGTGCTCGAAAGGTTGCCGATTGATTTTCTCTGAGATCATGGGGGAAGAGGTCTGAGCTACCAGTCAAGCCCTACATGGATCCGCGGCTCTGAGGGCCCCCCCCGCGCCTATGTAGATTTCGTGAGAAAGTTGCGTAGCAGAGGCACAGTCGCTTGGCGTCGGCAGCGTCGGGCGGAGTGCGCCCTGTTTCTTGTCGCTAAGAAAGACGGTCGGCTCCGTCTCATAGTCGACGCACGTGCTGCGAATCAGGAGTTCAGGCAACCCCCTGGAGTGGCGCTGGTAACGGTTGAACATTTCGCCAGCTTCGAGGTGGGGGCCGAAGATACGTTGTACATATTAAAGGGTAATGTCTCGAATTGTTTCTATTTGCTAGGCATCGACTGTGCGAGTTTTTCGGTCTCCCTCCTATCGAAGCGAGGGTGTTTGGGGTCGAACGGGTGGATGGGGCTTCAGTGGCTTCGGATGGGCATGTGCATCCATGCCTCGAGGCACTGCCGATGGGATTTACGTGGGGCTTATTATTCGCGCAGGGGGCCGCGCAGAACACCGCGCATGGGGCGCCCAGCCTGAAACCCGAGAGCGCCCTCGAGAACCGCTCGTGCAACGCGGTGTTTGACTCCAAGGGGATGGGTCTGGCTCATGATGTTTATGTCGACAACGTGTGGGTCCTGGGTCTACGGGCGGAGGAGGTCCAGAGGCCGCGACGAGGGCCCTCGACGACGTTGGTTTGTGGCGCACGGGCCTACATAATCTGCTTATGTAGATGAAGCGCTTGGAGTGGTTATTGATGGGACTAGGGGTGTGATACGTTTGAGTGAGAGGCGGTGCAGTCGCCTCCGGGGAGCGCTTACATGGGCTCCAAGCAGGAGGAAGCTGAGCGGTGCGCAGTTGGAAACGCTCGTAGGGGCACCTCGCCTTCGCCTCCTTGATGCGTCGCCCCCTGTTGTCGGTCTTCGGTGCTATCAGCCGTTTCATTCGCTGCTGCTACCAGTTCGAACGGACCCTGTGGCCCAGTGTGATTGCCGAGCTTGAAGCCGCTTATCGTTTGTTGCCTCTGTGCGTGGCCGAGTTGCGTCTGCCGTGGCACCCTCAAGTCTTCGCCTACGACGCTTGTAGTTTTGGGGTGGGAGGGGCACAGACAGAGTGGGATGGGGGGGGCAAGGGTGCAACAGGTGGGGGGGCTGGCGGAGCGTTTCAGATTCAGGTATGCTGGTCTTGTGGGCCATCGTGAGCGAGCTTTGGGCACGGCTGTCCTGGGCCCTTTCTCTCCAAGTCACGGCGATCGGGGCAGTTGCATCGGGGCGCGAGCTCTCGGGGGGGTGGGGGTGGGGGGCCTGGGTTTCCAGGGCGTTCCCAGGGCGTGGATCTAGGAGTCCTCCTGGGCGCACGTCTACAGTGGGAGGCTTCGGAGGCTCGTGGCGATTCGCGTGACAGAGTGTCGCACTTCGCTGTGGTTCCTGAGACGCTTCGGCAGATCACGAATGGGTCGTGCCACCAGGGTCCTCTTGCTAGGCGACAACCTCAGTGCCATTTTGGCTCGCTCCAGGGGTCGCGCGACCAGCCGGCAGCTTCTCACCCTGTGAAGGAGACGATGCGCGCCCCAGTTGGGGCGGCGGCTCGTCGCCGTTGACCGCTAGGCCCCGTCGGAGTTCAACCCTGCGGATGCGGCTAGCCGGGCGTTCGAAAGGAAGCGGCTCGCGAGAGGCTCGGGGGATGACGCCCTGCTCCCTTGCAATGGTGGAGGCAGCGCCGAAGGCGCGGCGAGTGACGCCGCAGGCCGCCTTGCCGGGCCCGCGGCCTTCCGCCCGCCGCCTGGCCTCGTCGCCCCGCCCCAGTCCTCGACAGATGGGGCTGGGGCCTCTGGCGGAGGCCGGGCGGCCGCGGGGCTGGCAGGTGACCCAGTCGCCCGCGGCGCGGAGGGCGCGCGCCACCGAGCTGGGCCGCTGGCAGACGTGCTTTGCCGAGGGGCTCGAGTCCGACGAGAGCTTCCTGGAGAGAGGGCGCCTTCATGCGGTGCGCGGAGCACGCGAAGAAGTTGCAAGAGCACAGCGGGGTCGACTAGTGGGCCGACCTGACCGACCAGGACCTGGACGTGCTGATCGTTGCCCGCCTCGAGGAGATGTTCCTGGAGGGCGCCGCCAGCCACCGCGGGAGCTTCCTGTCGGCCGCGCTGAAGGCCCCCCTGCCGACGCTGGGGAGGCGTGGAGAACGCCAACTACCGCGAGCTCGGCGCGCGCTCGTGGGCTGGCAGCGTCTCTGCCCGGGCTTCTCGCGACCCCCCCTGGCCTGGGCGGTGGTGCGCGGGGTGGCGACCTGGCTGCTGCAACGGGGGATCCCCTTGATGGGGCTCTGGTGCGTCGTGGGCGCGTGCCTTTGCCTGCGGCCCGGGGAAAGCCTGGCGCCGCGGGGGATGGACTTCCTCCCTCCGACGGGCCAGGGCGCGCCGACTTGGTCCGTGCACATTCGCTCAAGAGAGCTCGGGATCCAGACCAAGACCAGGGACTTCGACGACTCCGTGCGCTGGGACGTCCCCGAGCCGCAGTGGGTGACCCAGTGCTTCGAGAAGTGGCGAGCGGCAGGCGACGCCAAGGTGTGGACCTTCGACAGCAGCGACCTGGCTCGGGAGTTTCGCCGCGCCGCCGAGAGCTTGGGCGCGGGCGACCTGGCGCCGTGCTCCATGAGGCGCGTGGGAGCGTCGTGGGGCGCGGCCGTAGGCCGCAGGTCGCTGGCCGAAGTTCAGAAGAGAGGTCGGTGGAGATCCCGTCGAAGCGTCGCGAGGCACGAGAAGGCCAGCCAAGCCTCAAAGGGTGTCCTCAAACTTCGGCCAGACGCGAGAAGGAACATGCAGTGCTGCGATGCCGGCATGCAGCTGGTGTCCAGCAGGGCCGCGCAAGTCCCTTGGTGATGCTCGGCCTTTTCGCCGGCGCGGCCCGGGCGTCCAATTCGCTCGGGCGCCTCGGGCACGAGGCCGAAATCCGTGACGTCAAGAACAGAGCAGATTTTGACATTCGCAATGTGGTGGTCTTGGGGCCCCTGCTGAGAAATCTCAGAACAGGTATTTTCAGCTGTGTGATGTTGGCACCGTCGCGTGCTACCTGCAGTGTCGCGCGGCGCCCGGCTTTCCGATCAGCCGAGCATCCTTGGGGGCTCCCAGGGAATGACCACCCACAGTTGACAGTCGCCAGTGTGATCATGAGAGCTACTTTGAAGGTAATCCGTCCGCGTTGGGAACATCGGCTACCCTTTGCGCTTGAGAACCCGCAGACCAGCCTTCTCTGGAAGCTACCTGAGGTGATCGAATTGACGTCAAACAAGAGCAGCGCTGTGATTGTCGCGGATCTGTGCCAGTGGGGGGCTCCTGGGAAAACAGCTTACTACCGCGTGGTTCTCGTTTTTCGACAAAGCCCTCTGTGAAGCTGGTAGTCTCCGATGTCGGCCCCGAGGTTGCGTTTGCAGTCGTGCGGGCAAGCCCCATGTAGGGCTCAGCGGGAGGGCCCCGAACGGGCCCTGGCGGACGCTGTTGGCGCAGGCCTACCCTCGGAAGTTCGCTTTCTATCTCGCTTCCTCTTTCGACAACCAACTCAAATATAAGCGCTCGCGCAGGTCACAGAATTTGGGTTTGAGTGGAACTGGCCAGCTTTGATTTGGTCTCGCGCTCGCTGTCCTAGCAGCGATCGGCCTGCCATCTCGTTGTTGTCGAACAGAAGGTTTTCCTTGTCCCAGCCGAGAAATAGAGATCATGTTTGTGCGAGCGCGGTAATGATTGGTTTCCTCGGCGCTTGTGGCGTTTCGAACACTTGTACGATCCATATCGCAAACGTGTATGCTCAAGCTCGTCCTGCACCCACCATCCGTCCCGCAACAGCCCCCAGCTTCGCTTTCTCCTCTCGCGCTTCGTTTATGCAGATGCATTTTTAAAGATCACCACCCCGCTTTTCCAGGCGGGTGGAGCTGGCCAGCTTTGAGTTTGTTCTCGCGCTCGCTGTCGTGGCCGCGATCGGCCTGCCATCTCGTTGTTGTCGAACAGAAGGTTTTCCCTGCTCCAGGCGAGAAGTAGAGATCAAGCTCTTCACACCAAGGCTCCCAGGAGCAAAGGGTACCATGAACCATTTCGGGCAGATTTCTGAAACGCTCTTTCCGTGTCCGTGCTGGCCCAGGTAAAGGACAAAACGAGGTGCGAACGATGACGTTCTGGTGGGGCGAAGCCATTGAGGGAGGGGTTCCAGGGGATGGAGGAGGCGCGGGCGACAAGTCGAATGGCCAGCTGCCCTAGTATTTTTTACAGTGAAGCGGCTCAATGTTTTTCGAGTGAAGCGGCCCAAGAAGGCCCCACAACATCTCCAGAGGGCACGAGGACGGCCCCAAGAGAACCCCAAGAGGGCCCAAAGAGGCCCCCAACAGGGCCCGAGGGTCCAAGGACAACTCCAAGACGGCCGAAGGCCTCCAAGACGGCCCGGGAGGGCCTCGTGACGCCCGAAGAGGCCCCCAAGAGATGCCTTCAACAGTGCTCGAAAACTGTCCAAGAGGGCCTCCAGACGGCCCCAGAGGGCCCCAAGACCGCCCCAAGACCGCCCCAAGAGACCCCAAAAGGGTCCAAAGAGGCTCCCGCAATGGCCTCCAATATGCTCCAACACTGCCCATAAGAGCCGTAAGACGGCCCAAAGGGCCCCAAGACGGCCCAAAAGGGCACCCAAAGGGGTTCGAAAAACACCCTGGGAGCCCCAGAGACGCCAAGTAACATCATGGCTCCCACCAGCGAGCGGTGGCATAATTCGCTCTGAACACCACGGCTCCCCAGAGCGCGGTGACGTAAAAAGTATTAATAACAGTTCTACCATGAGTGGGCGGCAACGTACAAGTCTCTGAGCATCAGGGCTCCCAACAAAGAACGGTGAAGGGACAAGCTTTTCACACGAAAGATCCCTGTAGTTTGGACTTGTCTGGAAATCCCAGCGTTCTCTCCGTGTGTCCCTGCAAATCGCTCAAACACAGATGTAACATTGCATACATACATCACGCATCGGTGGGGCCCCGGCCGCACCGTCGAAACGAGCCTCCCAGGACGGCGCTTTCAGGAAAATATCAAACACAGTATATGGCACAACATTTCGAGGGATACGCGGGACAACTCTGCGGGTTTCTGACATTTTGTCCTGGGCCGCCCAGGCTCCCAGGAGCGAAGGATGCCATGAGCCATCTCGGGCAAGCTCCTGAAGCGCTCTTTCCGTTTCCGTGCCGGCCCAGGTAACGGAAAGAGCGAGGTGCGAGCGATGACGTTCTGGTGGGGCGAAGCCCTCGAGGAAGGGGTTCCAGGGGATGGCCGAGGCGCGGGCGAAAAGTCATGTGGCCAGCTTCCCTAGTATTTTTTCAGATTGAAGCGGCTCCAGGGCGGCACTGGCCCAATTTTCTTTGATTTTTCGAATGAAGCGGATCAAGGTTCCAAGACGGCCCCAAGAGAGTCCCAAGAGGGCCCAAAGAGCGTCCCAGAAGGGCCCCCATAGGTCCCCAAGAGAGCCCCAAGACGGCCACACCCCTGGGCGCGCCAGGGACGTTCTGTGGCGATTCGGGAGTCCCCAGGGCCCTCACAAGGCACCCGAGGCGCACGTCACGGTGAATTGGCAGCCGCCCAGGGTCCAGGGCGCTCCAGGGCGCGCCAGAGAAGTTGAGTGGCGATTCGGGCACCCCAAGGGCCTTCGGCCACAGGACGCCAAGACGCCCCAAGATTACCCAAAAGGGCACCAAGACGGTCCAAACGGGACCCACAAAGACCCCTTAGAAGCCCCAGAGAGGCCAAGTAACACCACGGCTCCCAACTGCGACAGGTGACGGAACAAGCTTTGATCACAATGGCTGCCGAGAGCGCGGTGACGTACAGAGCTTCCAATAGCAAGGCTCTGAAGAGTGAGCGGTAACCTGAAAGTCTCTGAGCACCAGGGCTGCCAACAGGACTTCTCTGGCAGTCCTAGCGTTCTCCCCGTGTGTCCCTGCAAGTCGCTCAAACACATATGTAACATTGCATACATACATACATCACGCATCGGTGGGGCCCCGGCCGCACCGTCGAAACGAGCCTTCCGGGACGGCGCTTTCAGAAAAAATCAAAGACGTGATACTGGAGAAAACCCTAATCAGGGCTGTAGGGCTAGGGGGCTATCGTGCTATAGGGCTATTGAGCTATAGGGCTATAGAGCTATAGGGCTATAGATTTGTAGGGCTATTGGGCTATTGGGCTATTGGGCTATAGGGCTGTAGGGCTTCGGGCTATAGGGCTATAGGGCACCCCCGGGCACGCCCGGGCACCTGGGCACCTGGGCACCTTGGCACTCCCGGGCACCCCCGGGGCACCCCGGCCCCGGGCACCCCCGGGCACCCAGGCACCCGGGCGTGCAGCGAAAATCGGCGACAAACCTAACCTAACCATATGAATCCGCTAGTTTGTCCCGGGCCGCCCAGGCTCCCAGGAGCGAAGGGTGCCATGAGCCATCTCGGGCAAGTTCCTGAAGCGCTCTTTCCGTGTCCTTGCTGGCCCATGTAACGGAAAGAGCGAGGTGCGAGCGATGACGTTCTGGTGGGGCGAAGCCCTCGAGGAAGGGGTTCCAGGTGATGGCCGAGGCGCGGGCGAAAAGTCATATGGCCAGCTTCCCATTTTTTTAGATTGAAGCGGCTCCATCTTATTGTTCCCCATATCCTAAGATGTTTTTTTGTTATTACTTGGACGCCTCCTACTCCTTCTTCTTCTCCCTCTTGAACTCCCCTCTCCTCTTCATACCCAGACTTACTCATACACAGACTGACTCACACTCAGGCTTACTCAGACACATACTTACACGCAAAATTATTCATACTCAGACCTACTCATACTCAGACCTACTCCTACTCAGACTTACTCATGGTGAGACTCACGCACGCCCCGTTCGCGGCCGTTGTGTGGGGATGCCTCAAGCGGTTTGCTTGTTCCCCATATTCTAAGATGGGGTTCTTGTTATTACTTGGACGCCTCCTACTCCTTCTTCTTCTCTCTCTTCTCCTCCTCCTCCTCCTCCTCATACCCAGACTTACTCACACTCAGACTTACTCATACCCAGACGTACTCAGACACAAACTTACTCATACTCAGACCTACTCATATTCAGACCTACTCCTACTCAGACTTACTCATGCTAAGACTCACGCACGCCCCGTTCGGGGCCGTTTTGCGGGAATGTCTCAAGCGGTTTGCTGTTTTCTGTCCCAACATCCTTCGCTTTCGGAGCAGATTTGGAGGATACCTCGAGCGAGGCGCTCATTTTCACCCTCCTAAGGGGAGCCGCCAGGGGTTCTCTCACGGTCCCGTTCGCGGCCGTTTTGTGGGGATGTCTCAAGCGGTTTGCTTGTTTTCTGTCCCGACATCCTTCGCTTTCGAAGCAGACGTGGAGGATGTCTCGAGCGAGGCGCTCATTTTCACCCCCCTAAGGGGAGCCGCCGAGGGGCTATCTCACGGTCCTGTTCGCGGCCGTTTTGTGGGGATGTCTCAAGCGGTTTGCTTGTTTTCTGTCCCGACATCCTTCGCTTTCGAAGCAGACTTGGAAGATGTCTCGAGCGAGGCGCTCATTTTCACCCCCCTAAGGGGAGCCGCCGAGGGGTTATCTCACGGTCCTGTTCGCGGCCGTTTTGTGGGGATGTCTCAAGCGGTTTGCTTGTGTTCTGTCCCGGCATCCTTTGCTTTCGGAGCAGATTTGGAGGATGTCTCGAGCGAGGTGTTCATTTTCACCCTCCTAAGGGGAGCCGCCGAGGAATTATCTCACGGTCCTGTTCGCGGCCGTTTTGTGGGGATGTCTCAAGCGGTTCGCTTGTTTTCTGTCCCAGCATCCTTCGTTTTCGGAGCAGATTTGGAGGATACCTCGAGCGAGGCGCTCATTCTCACGT